CAAAATCATTATTCATAAACAATTTTTAATTTTGTCTGGAAGAGCACTCGTTGTGTAAAACATATGTGGGAATAGCTGGCAGTTCATTCTGCTGTGGTGACCTCTAAAACAGAGACTAAGCCGAAGGAAAATGAATAAATGAATGAATAAATTTAGGAATGTAAAATTGTTGTAAAATTTGAAAAAATATTTAGGGAGCAATTCTAAATAAAATAAATTAAATATTACTTAAATAAATGTTAAATAAAACATTTTGATTATACAGTGATGTGTGGTGGAAAAAAATATGACAAACTTAAATGACAATAAATCATGACTTTCAGCTATATAAGACACTTTTTTACTGAAAATATCAGATTGTTAGAGCTGCATCATATTGTGATCCATCAAAATGAGTAACAAATTATTAAAATAATTAAAATATATATAAACATAAGAAAAGAGCAGGACAAAATAGCTTTAAACACCACATGTACTTGCAGTTATAAAATCACCAATATAGTCACTTCCAGCACTCAGGTAGAGTCTCATTGCAAGTTTTATGATGTAGGTACAATAGCTGTGTTAAAATGAGGCTTACCTAACAGCAGGGAATGGTTGGTCAGAATAATCTAAACAGACAGTGGTGCCACAGCAGATCGCATGTTTGAGGTTGAGTAGCTTAAATAAAACAGATAGACCGCAATGGGGAGGAGAGGAACCACTTTGTTTCACCACAGAAGAACAATGAAGAGCAAATGTGTGCGTGCTTGAGTATTTGTGAATTACTGTAACTTCAGATATGTACTGGAATGGTCGCTAATTAAATATTCACACTGGGTCAGTGGTCTTCACAGTGGGCCATGGGAGGTCTGAGAACTTGTGAGAAGCTTAATGAAGCACACAGCGTGGGAGGCTAATGGAACAATTACTGGGTTAATTTGACCCACTAATCAAAGAGCAGAACATTGAGCAATGTACTCCGTACAGGAAGGAACAAAAATAAAATAACTTTTTTTTTACTGTCTATGATAATATCATAATTAGTGTTTTAATGATGTGCTGTTGGAGTAAAAACAAATAAACACATCTTGAGAGTCCAAAAGCATTGACGGTGTGATGAAACCCATTAGAATGCAGTTAGAATGAGTCTATAATGAATTAAATCCATATTCATGTTCACAAGATAATGCACTATAACAGGTAATTTTCAAATGTATTTCAAGAGATTTGTCAGGGTTCTGTCCTAAAACTGCTTCCTTTTTCATTGTTTTGATTTAAAGTTGTTTTGTCTCTTGTAGAATTAGTTTTAATCATTTAAACTGTTCAGCACTGTGATGAGAAACTGGTCAAGTCCTGCCTGATACTACTTTAGCTATGGATGTATCTGAATATAACTGTAAAAACAAACAAACAAGCTGTCTGACAGTAGGTGGCGCTTATGTAAAAGCATAAATACAGCATTGTCTGTTACACTGGAATGTAAAGCAGCGCAGCCAAGCTGAAGCAAATACTGAAGAAACTGAAACTGCAATTCATCGAAAATTCTGCTAGTGCTGGTTCCATAATATTTCTATGGAGCCCAATGTTAAATAGGCCAACTTTACAGCAGAAAAAAGATGTTTACAGCCTGATACAAAGAACGAGTTTGGTTTATATAGCAAATTTTTCCCTTTATGGGTTTATATATATGTATATATATATATATATATATATATATATATATATATATATATATATATATATATATATATATATATATATATATATATATGTATATGTGTGTGTGTGTGTGTGTGTGTGTGTATATGTTTTTAGGTTTTATTTGGCTTTACAAAGTCAAGTGCTTTTTGGAATTGTTTCTTACAATTATCAGATGATATGGCATCCTGTGTGCACTTTATTGTGCTTACAAACCATTCACGTGGCCTTCATTTCCAATGTAAAGGAAATTATATACTTATATACCACATCTATAAATGTATTTGTTTTATTAAAGATATTTTTTTTATAATTTTCTGTAGACCTGTAATGCACTCCAGAATCTGACAAATTGATTACCAGTAGGCTCTAGAACAGTCATCTAAAACATTGTCTCACAGCGTTATTTAGTGTTTGGAAGTAATTCCGGTATTCCTCCTGTAGAAAAACATCGTAACAACAATACTTAGTGGCTCAATGTATTACAACAGTGTTTTTAAAAGTCTTAACACTTTATTAATATAGTATAAAACCAAGCACATGTGGTATAGTATAGTAATATAATATAGTAAAGTAATACAATAGAGTATTAAGCGTTTCTTCCAAAGAAAAGCCTGTCTAAGCAAAATGCTATCAGGTGTCTGGCTCCTGCTCTCCCTCTTTGCCCTTGTTTGGTATCCCTCTGTCGGTGTGATGACGCGCAAACAAAATGGCGACAGTTGGCCAAACCTACTTGTAGCTTCTTTTGGGTTCTTCAGAAACGGGTGTTGTTACGGATACTACGTTCATATCTTTAACAGTCTATGAGCACAGCATAACTTTCTGATTCAGTCAGACACTTGAGAAGAAAGTCAGTTTAAATGTCTGAAAGTCAGTCAGTATTTACATATTTTTAAACCGACATTCAAATTTTTAATTACATATAAAAGTTCTTAAATCTATTAATTCATTAATTTTCTTTTCAGCTTAGTCCCATTATTAATCTGCGGTTGCCACAGCGGAATAAACCGCCAACTCATCTATCACACGTTTTACGCAGCGGATGCTCTTTCAGCTGCAACCCACCACTAGGAAACACCCATACACTCTTATTCACACACATACACTATGGACATTTTAGCCTACCTAATTCACGTGTAGCACGTGTCTTTGGACTTGTTAGGGGAAACGGAGCATCCAGAGGAAACCCACGCCAACAAGAGGAGAACATGCAAACTCCACACAGAAATGCCAACTGATCCAGCCAAGGCTCGAACCAGCGACCTTTTTGCTGTAAGGCAACAGCGCTACCCACTGCGCCGCCCCATTCTTAAATCCAGTTTATTTTAAATTAGTTGATTCCAGCAATGTTACCAGCTTAATATCTTGATACTGATGTTTTGCACTTCTGTCTGTTACAAACATTTGTTTGCATTTTAGTTACACTTTATTGTAAAGTGTTTTACTGCATTTAGAAACAAACTGTATGGTAATCATTTATTTTAAGGTGTCCTTGATACACATTCTATGTACTTCCTATAGTAGTTACAATAAATTAATAATAATAAAAATGCATAATTACATGTAACTAACCCTAAACCAAGCGTAGCCTAGCATTCTAACCCTTACCATATAATAAGTACATATAATTAATTAATATTACTAAATAGTTAAATACACTGTAATGAGGACACAGTAAACTTAAGTATTTCTTGTCATTAAACTTTCATTTTTTTTTCAACATGCTTTTGTAATCTAACACAACACCATCATAATGCCATATCCGTGATGAAATCTTTATCAGTTATTATAATATGAATATGATACCACCACGTTCCAACTTAATTTCTAAAGCACTAAAACCAACAAGCTCCTCCACATTTTAATGCACATTTAAGTAAAGTTAATTGGAATTGCTCAGCACTTGATGTAAACAGAGCACTTTAAAGTATATTTGTCCAAAACCTGTTTTTCTTGTCCATATTAGTTTTCAAACTGGTGCCACAAACTTCTCAGCTGAGGACCAGCATAAGGTCTCTGTCTCTATTGGCAGAGGAAAGTGACATATGGGTCTGTGTGACACCGGTGATAAGCACTCCATCCACTCACAGGAAAATGACTGGCCTGTTCAGTGTTGTTTGATATTGGGCCAGTTACCTGAAACCTCTAAAAATAGTTTGCTATCATCCGGTACATTAATATACCTCATAAGTACTGACTAAAAATATGAAATCACAGGAAGAATGTGAAGCTTATGAAGAATGCTGCCTGATTCTAATAAGTTTGTGGGTTTTATTTTATTTTAAGGTGTCCCAGTGTGCCTATTTATTTAACTACTTAGGGATGTTAGTTAATTATTTACATGCACTTAATATATAGTTAAGGTAGGAATTAAGGTTAGGTTTAGGGTTAGTTGCATGTAATCATGTATTGTATTTGCTATATGTACATGGAACCTGTGTAATAGACAATAGGGTTGACGAAAAAGTGTTACAGATTTTTAAAACACACTTTATATCAGAGGACAGTTTACACTTACTATTATGGATTTATATCTGTCATTATTTTAAATCCTGTATTTAAAACAAAACATCATTATCTGGAATCCTGGTGCCCAGTAGAAAGTTTTTAATTTACTGCAAAGTAAGCATTCTGACTAGTCATTGCCTCAGTAAAAGCCATGGGTAATTAGTGTGTAAAGCAATGTTAGCTACAATTGTTGTTTGTTTCTTTTAATGAATCATAAAGACACCATACAAACAACTCTTGGTGTCAGGGGGAAAAACAATTGTTTTAAGAAATGTTACCTTAAGTGAAATGGATAGTTTTATAAATATGCATGTAATCTTGTTGTCATTCGATATGCTGTAATTTAAGCACTCAATTATGTGGAATCCTGGTGCCAAAGTTTCACTAGTAAGTTTTTAATTAACTACAAAGTTACTAGTCAAATTACCACAGTACAAATTATATCTATTGTTTAAAAAATGTTACCACACACTTAATAAGTACTGGTTTTATTAATTATATATACAGTGAATAATTGTACTTGCTAAAAAATAATCGTTCGCACTGTATCAACAATCGTGATGCATATCTAGAGAGATATCAGGTTATCATTTGTAAATGATAAAACCATAGTAAATGACAAAAAAAGCATTAAGCTTCCAGAAAACAAATCTTATTGTGTGCCGATGATTAATAAAATAAATGTTAGCCACTGTGTGTTCTATGAACTGTTACAGGTGAAAGTAAATGATAATAGTAGAAAAAAACTAGGTTATTGACAGACAAAAATATGTTGAAACGGCTTGCCATTTTCGTTTTAAAAGCGATCTTACCTGCGTTTCTAAGTTTCTTGTTTCTGTAGACGGAGAAGATCACCAAGAGGTTCCCCAATATATCAACCACGATAGTGAAGATCAGAAAACTGCCCAAAGTTGTGGCGACCCAGGGAGGGCGATTCAGGGTGTTCTCATCGTGAGGGCTCAGTGAAGAACTGTTCATCAAGCCGCTGCCATTTATTTTCATTTTATCTTCACTTCAGAAATCCTCGCCATAAATGATAGGACTTGATTCCATTGTAAAACCATGTGTGGCGGTTAATGCGTTTGCGTAAACGTGCGTAAACTGAAGCTCTGTTATCATGTCATGGTCCTCGATGGTGCGCACGCCTTCACGGTCTGAGCGCGGACATGTGTCCGCACTTTTATAGCTTTCTGTCTACATCAGATTGTTGGTATGTGACATCCGACAGCAAGTTAAGTTCTCCTCAAATGCCCATGGATGTGTGATGCTGTCTGTAGATCGCGGTTACGCTGCCCCGCTGTGGAAGACAACGAAATCGGCAAGGAATTTGGGTCGGAGAAGGTTCAGCTTCTTTCACATCCTCGCGATTACTTATGCACGTGTTCATTCATTATTTTTGGTCATTCATGCTGTTTCAACGTCGAAATCGACATTTTCTTTAGTTTAATAAGCGCTGCGAGGAAAATAATTAGCTGCACATTGGTTAAAACCTGAAGTCGCCAAGTTCAAACACTGCTAAGAGTGATTCTTGAATTATTAGTAATCCCCTTAAGCAAGAATTTTTACTCCAGATTGCTCTATGTCTGTTTCTGTAATAGACAAAAGGTATTTAAAGTCACAAGATGAAGTATTAATGCCATGGCAGGGCTGTTCAAAGTGCACTTGATAGCATTTTAAAAGATACATATTTCGCTTTAGACAGATTTATTTATAGTTTTATTACTTCTAATGCATTCCTGTTATCTCTTAGAACAAGTAACAAACCAAGTCAAACTTGTTTATATATAAAGTGCTTTATACAATGCAATGTTTTTGGGCAGCTAATAAACTGGAAAATGATATTTTAGTGTTAATGTAGTAAAATCCACCTTATGCAATACTTACAGTAATTTTAATGTATGTCAGAATTGCAAACTATTATATTACACAATATTAAACAATTGGGCAAAGTAGATCAAAGTAAATTATTATTATTACTTTTATTTTGCTCAAATTGATCTAATTCAGTTTGATAAATGTCATTGTTGTAAAGTTATTGTCATCCTACAGCTCAATTTAGTCAAAGTTCTCTTCAGTATTTCTAAACACTTGTCTCTATTGTCTGGATAAAAGCTTCCTGAAAAAGCTGCACAATTCTAACATTTAAAGATTTATTATTTTTATGTATTATCTTATGTGTTTATTTATCAGCCCATTCATCTTTAAAACACTAATAAGACTGTTAAAAGTGTATATATATTTTTTGAAAATATAAGTCTGAATTAAAAAAATGTGTTGCTGATGTTTTGCAAGCCTGTCAGTACTTAAAAAAAGAAATTCTAATAAACAAGTTGACCTTTTTTTGAAACTGTCTAATTGGGCTTTTGACTTAAAGCCTTAGAGCTACTGAGACATATCCAGTGTGACAGCTTCCCTCTAGGAAAAAGATCTTTTTTTCATCATTATTACGCCATTATCACCTTGCTCTAATAGGCATGCATTCAGCCACATATCATGCATGAAATGTGTGAGAAGTGCATTTGTTGAGTTTAAAAACATATTCCTGATGGTGTTATCAGCAATTCCTCCGTGCATATTATATTAAAGAAAATATGTGCTGTCTTATTCTGTTATCTAAATGTAGAGTTTTCCAACCGCCAGATGGAGATGAAAAAGCATCTGAGCAGTAATAATAAACTGCCCCTTAAAAACAACCTTTAGAGCATGCAGCTGTCCATTTGCACATACAGCCAAATGTATTCGTCATAGAGTAATGTGGTCCAAATACTCTTTGGACTGTAGTTCAGCACCATGCATTAGCTTTGCATTGGAGGATGCCTGTCGGTGCCAGCCTCTTTATATAAACCACACTGAATAGTTGCAGTTTTATCTCTCTAATACACTCTTTATTTCAGACGTCAGAGCTATACATTTAGTGTGTCAGAAGTTAAACGGGTTATATCATATGTCTTAAATACTTTCCGCTTGAGGTCCACTTCTTAAGTTAGTCAGGGTGTTTTGACCCTGTGAAAAAAAACAGTGATAATTTCAAAGTTTTCATGATCTCTTTAACACTTACAATTACTGTAAATGAAAGACTTTATGCCATTGTGTTTTTATAACATATCCATGTTATTCTATTTTCATTTGGGAGGACCCCTGCAATAGGTTTACAACCATCAAGGTCAAAAAGCATTTTTATTTTCTCATACGCCTCACATCAGCTCTTTTCTCAAAGTTCAAATTATTTGATTAATGCCCAAAAATGTCCTTACAAAGTATGTCTAAACTACTATCGCAATTAAAATGAAATGTGTAACATATTGTCAGTTCACTGAGAATAATAGGCAATCACAAACATTTGTGTTTAGATCATGAATGCGCTACGAATTCTATAAATTATGACACAAAGAATGAGATTCATTTCTAACTTCAATGACAATGAAGGGAGTTTCTGTGTAAGTGCCAATTACTATTTAGCGAAAGTGTATACTACCTGGTCAGAATATATATTATTTGGAGGCATTAGGCTAATCTGTTAGGAATCACTGTAAATCAGTTCTGAAAGTAATGCTGTAATTGCTGATGATTAATTTCTGTTATTTCTTTTTTTTATTATTATATACAGCTAAACATACATGATGATCTCCAAGTGGCCGTCTCCAAAATTAAACCAAGAATAGACTTGTGCAGTAAACATTGTGCCCGCACCAGTCTTATTAAATAAGGTTAATATTAAATTGAACAAATGACCAAAAAAGATATATGGTTGTTAGACTGTTGTCAATATGCTTGTGTTTATAGGCTATTGTTGTGCGTGTACCATTTTGTGCAACACTTGTATGTTTAAAACCCCCTCCAAGGATACTGGAAGTCACTGAAATTGTTATTTTAGGATTCGCTGGCTGCAAAGTTCCAGAATCCCTGCTTTATATGACAAGCAGTGCATGCAAAATCACATACTTCCCGTGTAGACACAAATACATCATAATTCATGCTTGTCAAACAGTGGGTGAGACGTACATGAACATTTACCATGTTGTAATTTTCACAGCGATCATGAACTACTGCACTGTAAAAAATACTTTTATAATTGAATGATTTAAACCTGCTCCCAAGTCAATTAACTTTGTTTTATTCTTTCTTATAATTTCTTATACATATTACTACAATACATTGAGTCATATTTACTGTAATACTTATATTTACTTTATTTACATATTTACTTTATTAATAATTGTAGTATTGTTGAATTAACTGGATTTGTGTTCTGAGTTATAGAGCTAGAGTTATATTCTTATTAGCACACAATTCCTGGCCCCTGGCTCAAAAATGTCACGTTAATTAAAATCATTGTGATTAAGTATTATTTGGCATTAGCTTGTGTTAAGTTAGCTATCAGTAACACTTTATTTATGTACTTGTATGATTAATGTGGTGGATTATACATAATACACAATCTTAAAACAAATTCAGCCCATCTTCTATTAATCAAATCATAGGCCTACAACCCTACACATTTCAACATCATAGAAACCTCAATACCAATAGAAAACAATGTTTATGACTAATTTGTTAGTGTTGGGTAAAAAAAATCACATACAGTAATGTTTGTGTTTGTTTGGAAATGAAAATTTGGTTCACATCAGAACCCAACGGCAGGCTAACATCAATGTCCAACATTAACCTAAAATTTTGGTCATCTGACATCACAACCTAAATCGAACATATTAACTTCTTTTGACACAAAGCAACCAAAACCAAAAATCTGCAAGGCTAGGTTAACTCGTTCAGTTTAAGTTAAGGTTTATACAATCAAAATTTGAGTTTACGTAAATTGTTTCTGTTAAGTACAATAAGCTTTTTTTAAACATTGAGTCAAAGGAACTGATTTAATTAATTGCACTGCTCCATTTTACAGTGTTGTGGGTCATGTCTTTGACAACATATCACATGCAATTCCCTTGACTGTATATAACAGTAATGATCATGCTTTTTAAAAGGTTGTTGAAGTTAAAATTGATTTTACAGACAGTTCTTGATTTTGGTCGCACCAAATGGCTTGACTACAAAAACTTTTCAGAATAAATAATCATAATAGGGGCACTTAAAATGTCTGTGAAAATGGCTTTTACGACTTTTTGCAATAAGGTTTACTTATGGTATGTGGCTATCAGGCACAATATAATTGCCTCATTCTTCAGGAACAGCAATTCTGCATTCATTACATTGTGACAAAAAAGTCTGCACTTTAGCCACACAAGCTGTTAAGGTCAGACTGACATTATCAAGGACACTGTTATAAACAAACGTTCCTAATTTTGGGATCCTGAGTAAGACAAAGCAGATTTACATACATTCTTTTTACTAGCATGCAGGCCCGGATTAAGAACTCAGGGGCCCCTGGGCACATTATCTTGTAAGGCCCCTACCTGGCCGCACCACTGTATAGTTGAATTAAAAAAATACAGATACAGATACAGTGTAACTCGAATGATGCACAGACAACTCTGGGTTTTGTTTTTGATCCAGGACTTGAAGAGCAGTTAAGTGCACTTGAACAAGTCACAGGAAAAAAATATCATCTTATCTGAAATGGAACAGATTAATGAGTTGGAGTCCGGGAGACAATTTAATGAAGAAGAATCCAATACAATTTTGCATTAGCTCATTCATCAAGAATGCAGATCTTAACATTTATTGACATGTACCCTCACCCTCCTATCAGAACACATTAACACTGGATCTCATTACACTTTACCCATGGAATTGGTTACTCCAGAGGACACGCTACAAATGAGAATATTCCAGCTTTCTCCATTTAATTGACATTATGTGTTTTTACTGTAAACTGTAGAGAGAGAATGCAATGTTTTTTTCCTCTTTTGGTTATATAATTCTGAATTAAGGTTGCATTTGATCTATACAATGTGACAAATAGAAGCAAATAGCTCCAGCATCAGCTGTCGTACATACAACATGCTTATACTCTCGCACACTAACACAGGCATATTTGTTTACCCTTGTATATAATAGAAAAATACCTCAACCATCAAATCATGTCACGCTATCTACTACGCCTTACTGGCAAGCAGATGGGAGCAGATATATAAGAACAGACAGCTTGGTTTACTGGCAAATTCCAAAGATACGATGATCTGATGACTACCAAATTGAAAACCTGTTTCGGTTTTACAAACTTCTGACAAACAAATGAAGTACAATGCCATGTGCTAAGCAATTATCTTTAAAGTGCACTGTTCGTCTCGCTGCCATTTTATTGATACAACTAGACGTGCTATACGTGACCTCTTTGAGCTTCCATTGTGTTTTTTTTTTTTTTTAAAGATCAGAGTTGAGGTTGAGGTATTCAATTGGATTGAGTGTAATTACGTTTTGAACTTTGTCAGTGCTCAGATACGAGGAATCCTCACTCATATTACGGAGAGTGTGAGAAAGGGGAT